CAGGAAGGTTGGGAACAAGACCCCATTAAGAAGAAGTACAGGGGAATAACACAACAAACACTCATCATCTCTCGGAGGTCCGCGCGGACTTCTTGGATTGGCGCTTGGTCCCCGCCCTGGCGCGCGGAGCGCGCGAGGGGGGGCGCCGAAGGAACTACGAGGGGGGGGGCCCAGCGCCGATCCAAGAAATCCGCCCGGACCTCCAATAATGTTGATGCAGCTTAGCTATGCCAGAGCAAGAAGCGGCGAGCAAAGGGGGAAGTGAGAAGGAGCGGGCCTTCTCAGAAGGCTCGGAAAACCTGAGGCCGTCTGAGCCGTTTCTATGCCTTCCCTGGAGACGCAGAACACCTCCTGGAAGGCGCGAGGGCTTGTGAGAAGTCCCGCCGCCTTCTGAGAAGGCCTTCTCCTTCTCACTTCCCTCCCAGGCGCGCCGCTGATAACTCGGGTCTCCCGCGGCCGTTCGGGTCGATCCCGGCAACCCCGGAACGCTCTCGGCGAGGCGCAGCCGCTGGAACCCATCCCAAAGGTGGAAAACCGCCGAGACCCGACGCGAATCTCCGAATCGCTCGCTGCCGAAAGAAACGCATGTAACGTGAGCCACCGCTCATCCTGATGGGCCTGTTTTTCACCACTACCATACGTTGGAGGGGGGAAGGAGGAGGAGGAGGAGGAGGACGAGGCGGAGCAGGACAAAGAGGAGGAGGAGGAGGAGGAGGAGGACGAGGAGGAGGAGGGGGAGGAGGAAGAGGAGAAGGAGGAGAAGGAGGGGGCGGGGGAAGAGGAGGCGGCGCGCCCTTTGACGGCTCCCTCTCCGCGCTGCACCCTGCTGGCCCTCGGGTCGGGCGTGTCCTCCTACAGGCAAAAACCCTAAGAAGGACGCGCGACTTTGCTCAGGGTACCCTTGCGTCCTCGCTCTTCCTTGCTCTTGCGTCCTTGAGGTGTTCGTCGTCCGCCGCCTCAGAAATCCCAACTTCGGCTTCCAAGGGTCTTGCGTCCTTACCGCGCGTCATTCTTAGGGTTTTCGACAGGCGGATGTTGGAGGAACAATTGACAATGCTCAAAACATGCTCTCAAAAGTTGGCAAACAGAATCCAGACATCCTCCCCAGACTAAATGTTTTTTACTATTTCTGAATGCTCCTCCTGTGGAGGGACACGCCCGACTGAATGCTAGCCGCAAGGACCAACGTCTGGCACGTCAGCGAATGACCACAGCGGCGGGAGAGCAGGTGTGCCCTACATGTCATAGAGGCCTACCAGATGGAGTCGGAGTATATGGTTTCGGAGGATCGCGCCGCATCGCCGTTGCATCGCCGATGTGTCAGCGATGCATCGGTGATACATCGCCGACGTCGGCGACACATCGCCGACGTCGGCGTGGAGAGCATCGGGCTCCGCATCGAGCTGCATCATCGTTGCATCGCCGATGCATCGGCGATGCGGCGCGATCCTCCGACCCCATCTACTCCGACCCCATCTGGGAGGCCTAGATTTCAAGCAACCACGAACTATCAGAAAACTGCTCCTCGACCTGCGCGCTGGCGCGCGCAGTAGGCGTCGAGCCACAAGGCCAGCGAGGGGAGCGGGCAGAGAACATCGGGTCCGCTGGAGGACGAAACCCATGTCCCCCTACAGCAAGGAATCCGCACGATCCATCCGCGAGCCCCTCCCGGGCTCGGGCCTGACAAATTGTCCGAACCTTCTACAGCCCATGCCCAGAAAGGCCCGCGAGCCTTCAGGGGCACGAGTCGCGCTCGCTCGCAGTCTGGGAGTCCGAGAACCGACGGAGGATGCAGGAAGGTAATCCAACCACCGCACATGCCTCAACAAATTGGAGGGGGAGGGACTAATAGAAACGAGCGGGCAAGATTGGACACAGCTCGGCCAAGTAAGTCGTGAAGCGCAAACAACACAGCAGAGGGTGTGCTGTTTTTTTTCTACGTCCTCAGCGCTCGTCAGCTCGGAGTCAATGTTAGCTATCGCGAGTGGACGAGCAGTGGATAATATTGCGAGCAGTATGATATGGTTTGACTGGTAACGAATGTAACAATATTGAATATGAGAGGATGTCTGGAAGAACCTAGTATGGATGTGTAACGAGGGCGAAGGTTGAAACTTTGAGCGGAGACGCCAGAGGTCCCACGCAACGAGGATACCACGATATATCCTAAACGAAGCGACGCAATTGCATCGTGCCAAAAACTATAACTATAATCACTGGGACGATCCGCCCAAGGGATCCCGTCCCTCAGTCACGTATTGAAAATGCTGGCACAGAGGAGCAAGGATCACACTTCACAAACAAGTGTCTGTAGAAGGCTGTCCGACATTGACCGCCAGCGGTGACCTTCAGATCACAGGGTCTAGGACAATTCGCCAGCAAGTTGAACAAACTGAGTGCCTGCTACCTTAAATATTAACTCGCATTCTTGCGCAGCCAGCCTTACCAGATGAGAGCATGGAGGGAAATGACAGGGAAACAAAGCTGGCATCAGGCTGGGTAATAACTATCCTAGTCTTTTGGTAGAGATATGCGCTGGCGGTGTACGGGAAAAAGAATGGGAACGAAGGCAGCCCGGTACCTCTGACTCCGTGGTTGCCCAGTACCTGCTTGAAGAATGGCTGGAACATCGTGGAATAATGGGATCATGGGGGGCGATACATAATCGGCCGCTCCCAATTCCCACACTAGACTCACGATGCCGTCGCCCGACTGAGACAAGGGGCCGCTAAAGGCTGGCAGACCGCGAGCACTGCCAGCGACCGCCTCTTCGAAGCCCCTCCACCTCCCATCGGAGGGCGTCCACTATACATCTACACCGGTTCTGGCTGCGAGCGCCACTCCTGGCTACGCACGCCCTCCTGGGGACAAGACCGGTGTACGCACCGATCCAAGGCCCTCCCAGCTTGGCCAGGAGGGCAATCTGCACCGAGCTGGGGCCCAGCAGCCGCCCCGGCCAGGATCCATGTCAGTGCGCTTGCCGAAAGCACTGGAAAGCCTCGAGCCCCCTGCCCTCAGGACCCTAGTCGATGGGGCAATTGTCCACCACCACTACCATGGCTAGGACGGGCCAGAAGGACTGATGGGGAAACACTCCAGCTCCTCCTCCTCCTCCTCCTCATCCCCTTCCTACCTATGGTAGTGGTGGTGAAACATCGGCCATCACTATTCAGATGCTGCCGTGACACTGGACTACGGCGGATGCAGCTTCGGAGGCCATGATAGCCGCCAGAATACCCCTCACGAGGCCCAGAGAGCCCCCTGAGGTCCCGAATGGTGCGGGAGGCTGGGGGGCAACTTAGGCCTGGACCGCCTTTGGTAAAGTCCCACTGTTCCGAAGTGGGGACGCGAGAAATGTGGGGACTCAGAAATGGAGATGATGTCAACGCCCGCGGCGACATCGACGGCGAGCCCTGTTTAAAGTTGGCAAGCCCTGCTGCTGGTCGTCTCGGAGCAGGGCGTGTTGAGACAGCGGCAGCTCAAAGACGGTCCCCAGAATCCTCCCAGGGTCCAAACGCACCGGCACCCCGAGCAGCGTCCAGCCGTGGCGACGAGGGGGCCCCCCGCCGAAGGCCAACTACCGTTGTCTCAGCTCTCCCTCCCCTGACCATCGCACCGGGCGAGTGCATAGCGGGCGTTTCTTTTGTTATTCGGCGTTCCGACATTGGGTGGAGGGGGGGAGTTGGGGTTCTCGCTCTGGACCCTTGCTTGGCGCGACTGCTTGCAGCCGTGCGTCCTGTGTGGGAGACCCCACCTGCTCGAGACGGGCGCCAGAAACAACCAATATCGGCTGCAGAGCTATGTTGTTCCCTGTACTTTTTGGCCGCTCGAAATTCTTCCTGGTGGTCAACGCTAAAACAGGTTGGAGCATCATAACTCCAGAGGGGGGGGGGGAGGGCGAGGATCCGTGCCGATCGACAAGACAACGCATAAACAAAAACGCCCGCACAGCCGACGCTCTGCGAGCCCGCCCGCCTCCCCAGAGCCCGCCCCAAACAGCCAAGATCTACTCCAGAGGTTGAGCAGGGACCGGCCGCCCCGGCCTTCCTATAGCCCTACCACGAAGTGTTCTTAGAACCCAAAAAATGTTCTAAGAACAACAGCAATGTCCCTAGAACGTGAACCCGATGTGTTAGAACAAGAAAGGCTCCGCCAGCAATGGTCTAAGAGCATTTCGTGGAAACCACAAAAGGTTCTTGGAACAGTGTTTGGTAGGGCTATAGGCGAGCCAGGACGCTTCACCACTGCTTGAAGACGGGGTGGGGAGGGAGAGGGCGAGGGCCCGTGCCGATCGGCAAAACAACGAATCAAAACGAAGACGCCCGCACAGTCTTAGGTCGGGCATGTCCCCCTACAGGCCGAGCTTGGACGAAACATTCGAACATGCCCAACAAAAATCCCCCTACATAGCCAACAGATGCTCAAAAATCGTCCCCAGCCTATTCCTCGACTATTTTCGAATGCGCCCCCTGTCGAAGGACAGGCCCGACTTAAGTAGAAGTGCCCCTGGCCCAAGGTGCCCCCCGCTTTTCACTCCGTTTTGGAGCCCCTGGGGCCCTTTGGGCCTCGTGAGGGGTGCCCTTGAGGCCGCCTGGGCCACCCTGAGAATCCTGGGGGGTACCTTGGGCCAGGGTTTACTTCTCGCCACGCCCGACGATGCTGCTCCAATCGCACTCGAGGACCGTGCCCCAAACATGACCTCGAGCACCCCTGGAAAAGTGTCGCGACGGCGTCGAAACAGCGTCGAGCGAGCGTCATCATGGCCGACGCTCTCCGAGCCTGGGCATCGCTCGGACGTCCATTCCCTGTGTTTTTTTTATCGGTTTCGTGCGTGGCTTTTTCGCCGAATGATCCAGGATGCTCCTCGATGGTCCTCGCCGAAGGAAAAATGCACACGTCCGAGCGATGCCAAGGAGCGAGCAGGCCCGCCTCCCCGGAGCCCGCCTCGAGCGCGCGCGCGCCCCTAGCCGCCGCGCGGCCGGCGCTCCGGCCGCGCGCGCGGGGCGGCGCGCCGCGGCGGGTCGCCCGCCTGCGCCCAGCCCCTCGCCCGGAGGACGGCGAGGGTGTACTCCTGCAGGAAGCCGCGCGCTACAGGGCAGTTTTTACTACATGGGATTTTTAACTCGCCATCGTTCGGACGTCCATTCCCTGTGTCTTTTTCGGTTTCGTGCGTGGATTTTTCGCCAAATGATCAAGGATGCTCCTCGATGGTCCTCGCCGAAGGAAAAATGCACACGTCCGAGCGATGCAAAGTTAAACATATATGATTTCGAATAAGACATGACTAATTTATGAATACATGTATGCATGAACTCCTCGTTGTTTTGAATTCCAAATCCCTGCATGTTTCATACATGATCCGCACGCGGAGCACGTATGAAAAACGGCACTGTATACTGGAGCAAGGAAAGGCGGCACCAACACCAACGGGGCGAGAGGAGACGCGCGGAGGCAGGGGGGGCCTACCTGGTGGTGTGGTCCCCCCCTCTCGCGCGAGACATCCCCAGTCTTTCGCTCGGGGAGGCATCGTGGACCTCCTCGCTGGAGGTGGGCCCCCTGGTGGTGTTGGTATGGCTTCTCCTCTCTCCGAATATACACCGACGTTTTTGTGCGGCCCTGCACGGACCTTTGCGCAAGAGAGCGGAGCGGGGTGTATACGGGACCCTGGTGTATACATGTTCCAAAATGTTTCCTGGGAAAACGGGGAATCAAGTATACACTACACCACCCCGACGTCGTCCCCGACCCTCAAAAAGTCCGGGGATTGGAAGACGGCCCGCCACTGGTAATGTATGGGCTCCAATTTCCGATCCTGGTCTGGGCTTATGCCGGGTGTTGCTAGAAGTGTTAGGTCGGGCCTGTCCCCCTACAGGGTGATTTGGGGCGAAGAATAAAGAATACCCCCAGGTCCAAGAGTTGCCCAGGAGATCTCCAAGACGGCCCAAGAGGCCTCCGAGAGGTCCTTCAGGAAGGCCCGAAGAAGCTAAAATCATTTAATTGCTCCTGTTCCGCTTTCCGACGACCCCAGACGGCCCAAGAGCCCCCAAAGATCGCCCCCACAGCGCCCAAGAGGCCTTCAAGATGGCCTCAGGACTGCCCAAGAGGCCCCCAAGGGGACACACAGACGACCCAAGAGGCCTCCAAGACGCCCAAGATGGCCTCCAAGACGGCCCTGGAGCATTCCAAAAGGGCCCCAAGTCGGCCCAGAGAGGCGGCTTCGCTCGGCGTCAGACGGGCCAAGAGCCCACCAAGATTGCCGAAATTGGCTCGAAGCTGGCCCAAGACGGCCAAAGAGGCCTCCAAGAGGCCTCCCAGAAGTTCTCCAGGAAGGCCAGAAAAGCAAACAAAAAAAGCATGGTTCTCCTTAGGTTGTTGAAGGATGTTTGCATTTGCTTCTTTTCGGCCTTCCGACGGCCTTCCGACGGCCCAAGAGCCCCCAAAGATCACCCAAGGATCGCCCAAGAAGCTTCCAAGGTGGCCCCAGAACAGCCAAAGAGACCCCCAAGACGGCCCCACGAGGCCCCCTCAGACGGCCCAAGAGGCTTTTAAGGCACCCAGGATGGCCTCCAAGACGGCCCTGGAGCATTCCAAGAAGGCCCCAAGTCGGCCCAGAGATGCCCCCCAAACGGCTTCCGACGGCGTCGGACGGGCCAGGAGCCCACCAAAACGCAAGACGGCCCAAGACTTGGAGGGCCTCCAGAAAGGCCCGAAAAGGCCAAAATCATTGATTTCCTATAGTGCTTGAAGGACTTTGGCATTTGCTTTTTTTCGGCCCTCGAGGCGGCCCAAGTGCCCCAAAGATCGCCGAAGAGACCCAAGACGGCCCCAAGAGGCCCCCAGGACAGCCCTGGAGGCCGCCTGGGCCACCCTGAGAATCCTGGGGGTTACCTTAATCCAGGGGTACTTTTCGCAACACCCGATGATGCTGCTCCCATCGCTCGGACGTCCATTCCCTGTGTTTTTTTCGGTTTCGTGCGTGGATTTTTCGCCAAATGATCAAGGATGCTCCTCGATGGTCCTCGCCGAAGGAACAATGTACACGTCCGAGCGATGCCAGGCTTAAGGATCACGTCCCAGAAATAATCTCGAGCACCCGAAAAAAGGTGTCGAGACGGTGTCGAAACAGCGTCGAGCGAGGGGTCTCCCAAGGCCCCACGTACGAAAACCCTGGAGTTTCGGTACCGTCTTGGTGCTCGAGATTCTTCCTGGCGGTTGAAGCTAAAGTAGACTGGAAAATCAGAAGTCTGGGCTCCCTTTGACTATTTGACAACTCTGGGAGGCCGACTTAGGCCTGCTTGCATGAGGCCGGCGATTGGGGTCGTTGGACATGCGTAAGGAGTGCTCGTTGGCATCCCATGAGCTAATGCTTTCAAGCATGCCTGAGCGAGTCTAGACTTGGTCGCTTTGGGTATGGTAGCTTTTGAGAATGGCAGTGAATCAAGGGGAACCCGACTCCTTAGGAGGCAACTACTGGGAGGTTTTCGTCGGAAGGATTAAGGAGGATTAAGCCCCATTGGGGGGCTGTTACGCCAGAGTGGGCCTCGGATCAAGCGGGATCAAGCAGGATTAGACGGGATTAAACGGGATTGAGCCGGATTCAGCGGGACTAAGCGGGATTTAGCCGGATTGAGCGGGATTTCGGATCAGGGCTAAATCAGAATTTGACCTCCTGGAGTTGCATCCGAAGACTCCTGCCTCAAGCTGCACTCGATGCCGTCGACCAGCTCCCGTGCGGCGCTCTGGCCGCCACCGACTTCGCCGTCCAGCCTCTCCACCAGCCGCCTGCAATGCAGCCTTGTGGCCTTGCTCGGCCGCGGCCTGCGCTGGGTCGCGTGCGGGAAGTGGCAGAAGCCGCACTGCGCGCCGTTCGCGCAGCCCACCCGAGAGCTGAAGTAGTGGCACGGCCTCAGGGGTTAGGTCGGGCGTGTCCTCCCACAGGGGGATTTCGGCAACAAAGAAAACACTAGTCAAAACTATGCAAAACTACTCAAAAAGTTGTCCCCAGATAATCTTAAAGCGTAGCCTTGAACTTCTTCCGGGAAGCAGCCCGTTTGCTGTTTGCAAGGCGTTGGGCTTGCCTCGGGGCATTCGTGTTCTCTTCTTCCGGGAAGACCGATTGAGCGGCCACGGATCGGCCGGCCCTCGCCCAGCTTCCAAATGAACTCTGGGGGGGGGGAGTTTGTGCAGCACGAATAACACCATAGCCCAAGAACGTGTAAGAATACTCGAGCCGTAGTCTCCACACTATTTGCTGCACTCTTTCTGAATCTTCCTCCTGTGGAGGGACACGCCCGACTTAACTCTGGGGGGGAGGCGGCGCGGGCCAGGCCGCCGCCGCGGGGCGACGTGCCCACGCAGAGGCGAGCGCAGGGGCCGCGGCTGCAGCCACGGCGAACGCCAGGGCCAGGATGGCACCCCTGGGTGCCCCGAGGGAGCCCAAGAGGGCGCCTCCAGGATGACCCCCCCTGGGTGTCCCGAGGGGGCCCAGGAGGGCCCCTCTCCAGGGTGCGAGGGCAGGAAGCGTGTCGCGAGAGGCTAGGGCTCAGGAGGCGCTGCAGGATATCTCCACATCTGGCGGCCCTCGCCCCTTTCGGGTGGCCCAAGAGGGGGTCAAGTGATTGTTTAGCATTGTACTGCAAGTCATGCATTGCACGCGAAAATCCAGCAATACATTTGCGCCCCGGAATGTATTGCACGCCCCAAATGTATTGAAACCCCACAAATCTATTGCACCAACCCCTTGTCGCTGGACCTCTTTTGGGTCAACCGGGCTTCTGCGGTCCCCTGTGGAAGGTCGGGGGGAACCCTGGCAGTCCTGGAAATATTGGGGCGCATCCTTCTCAGGGCCACCGTGCTCCTCCGAAGCAGGGCTCCTCTCCGAGGTACCGTCGGGGCTGATTGGAGAGGACGCGCGAGAGGACACGAGACCCTTCCGACCGAGGGACACGTTGCCATGGGAATGTAGAAGGCATGGGTCGCGATACACAGGACACACTAGAAGGCCAAAAATCCACCCCCAGTATGACCACCCCGAAAAGCTCGGCCGTTTCGTAAACGCCCCCCGAAGAAGGATTCGAACAGGGCAGGGCTGTTCAGTAAACGCCCAGAACTGTTTGGTAAACTCTAATGAACAGGTCCGGGTGGTTCTTCTTCCCTTGACACAGGGGTACTCTTGATTTGGCAGGGTCGACCCACTATAGTGGGGCCTGTCCCCTGGAAAAAAGAAATCGCAAAACATGCTTTGAAAATGCGCAAACATGGTCAACAAATATTTCCCGGACAATTTTTGTTACTGGTTTTCAGGGTCCTCCTGTAGAGGGACAGGCCCGACTCAAGGATACCCTTGATCTGGCAGGGTCGACCTACTACTCAGCCTGGACTGTACTCGGGAACGGCCAAGAAGGTGGTGTCCAGGAGGGGGGGTGCAAATCATGGCCGGCGGCATGTGCGCGGCCCAGCGGGGGGGCCAGGGACGTAATGAAACAAGAGGAGGCGCCACGAAATCTGGGCAAATATCATGGCCCCCGCCATGATATCCCCCCCCCTAGTCATCACCCCCTCTTTGCCGCCCCCGGTGCTACTCAGCCTGGACTTTTGGATGCCCGAAATGGGTACGGAAAGAATGGGTACAATGCCCAACAACAAATGTTGTCCCAAAACAACATCGGCCGCTGTTGGGCAGGCGGCCTTCTGTCTCGAATGGACACGGGCCGCGGCGGAGTGGACAGCGAGTCCAGTTCAGAATGAACAGGAACTGGTGTTGGGCATTGTACCCGTTCTTTCCGTACCCACTTCGGGCGTGGGATGGACTGTACGTCTGCTCCGTGGCAAGCCCCCGGGAGGCCCCAAGAATGACCCAAGAAGCTCCCGAGAGGTCTTCTCATCCTTCTCCTCATCCTCCTTGTTCCTTCCTCTCCTCATCCTCAGCACACCCTCCCCCACGTGTTCCCCGACGGGCTTCCACGACGGCTGGGGGAGCGCATGGCGCGTGGCCAAACAGTGCCTGAACGGTTGGCCACATAGGCGTATCCTGGACGGCAGGGGGCGGCGGTGACTCGCCGCAGGCGTCCTCGATAGCTTCTGCGACCGTCGCGACCTTTGACTCCTTCTGGGGGTCGGCGGCGGAACGGCGCAAGCCACACGAATCACGCCATTGGTGAAGGGGCCCTGGGACACACAAATAAATACAGACAAACAAACACGTTCCTATATCTTAGAGGGTTTCTGCCTTCCCCCCCCCACTTCCCATATTTTCCCATATTTTCCTGGGAGTCGACGATGAATTGCGTCTGTGTGTTTCTTTCCCTCCTGACTTGCAGGATCAGAACGCTCCAGGACCACAAACTGTCGCAGGCCCGCGCGGGATTCCGGAAGCCTGCGCTCTCACGACGCCCCTCGCCGGTTGAGCCACAGGGGCGCCCCTCCGAAGCTCTGCCTTACCTTTGGGCCCCCGTCCAGCATTTGAGTAACCCAAGATCGGGGAGACGTAAGACTCGGGTATGGGGGACTCGGGTTGGCCCGACGGGGCCATCACAAAATGACGACGCCCAATCTGAAATTTGACGCGAGCTCTCTCTGCAGACATCCCACCAAAACTGGACCGTCAAAATCCAGGACGCGCTCGTCAAAAAAAGTCGGCAACCCCGAGCTCCGGCTTACTCGGGTCTTGCGTTTCTCTGACAAAAGAAGGGGGTCCAGCTGAAAGGGGGTGGCGCAATAGATGTGGGGCAACTGTATTGCAAAGGCATTGCGCCGGAGAGTCGGAATGCATCGTATTGCAAGTAACGTACTGCACGCGAACATCCAGCAACACACTTGCGCCCTGGAACGCATTGCATGCCCCACATGTATTGCAACCCCACAAACCTAGTGCACTAAATCGAGAACGCCGGCGGCGCATCACCGGCCGCTCCCTGGGAGTTGGACGCAGCGTCTCGGGAGCCGCTTGGAGGAAATTGTGAAGCCTGTCCGGCTTCTCTTAGGAGCCGTTAGGGGGCCTCTTGGGGCTTCTTTAGGGCATCCTTTGGGCTTATTGGGGCCTTCTTGGGGCGCAACCCCACAAACCTATTGCACGAACTCTATTGCACCACCACCTTGTCGGTGGACCCCCTTTTGGGTCAACCCGATGGTCGAGCTACAGGGGCGCCTCCGAAGCTTCGCTGTACTGAACCTTTTGGACCCCCGTGCCAGCTGTGCGCTGGGCACTCCCCTGCGGCCTGCATGTGCCAGCGGCGTGCGGCTCCTTTGGCCCCCTGGACGGCTCCGCGCCCCGCGGATCCACGACCTCGCAGTCGAGCCAGAGGAGGAGGAGGATGAGGCCGAGGAGGAGGAGGAGCAGGAGGAGAAGAAGGAGGAGGAGCAGGAGGCGGAGGAGGAGGAGGAGGAGGAGGAGGAGGAGGACGAGGAGGAGGAGGAGCAGGAGGAGAAGAAGGAGGAGGAGCAGGAGGCGGAGGAGGAGGAGGAGGAGGAGGAGGAGGAGGAGGAGGAGGAGCAGCAGGAGGAGGAGGAGCAGCAGGAGGAGGAGGAGGAGGGCGTCCTGCTCTGCCCAACGGGAGCTGCCGGGCGCCGGGGCGGACCGCGCGCTGCTGCCGAGCGCAGAGAGCGCCCCGCCCTCCGGCCCCGCGCCTGGGCAGAGCTCCCCCCGGGAGCGGCGGTTCCGCGCGCCGCTGGCGAGCGGCCCCGGTCCATGGGGCAGCTCCTGGCTGGTGGCGCTCCCAGTGGCCGGCGGCGCTCCCAGTGATTTAAGAGAAGAGCAAGCGGCGTACACGTCGGACGGAAGAGGCAGGTAGAAACACGAAGCAGGAAGGCGGAGATACAGCCAAAAACCCTGATGAGGACGCGCGGTAAGGGCGCAAGACCCTTGGAGGCCGAAGTTGGGATTCTTGGGGCGGCGGAAGAGGCCAAGGACGAGCCGCAAGAGCGAGGAAGAGCAAGGACGCAAGGGTATCCTGAGCAAAGTCGCGCGTCCTTATTAGGGTTTTTGACTGTAGTAGATTGGGTCCAGGTCCTCCCAGAGAATAGCACACACAGCAAAAGCATGTCGATTCTTCAAGTAGGAAGGCGCTTGAAGCAGATTGGGATCTGAGAATCCAGGAATACCTGCTTCCAACGACAGGCGTGTAAACATAAGCGCTTGGCGCTCCGCGCGGATTTCTTGCCCTCCCTGGCGCGCGGAGCGCGCCAAGGGGGGGGGCGCCGGAGGCACCGACGGGGGGGGGGGCCAGCGCGGATGCAGAAAATCCGCGCGGAGCGCCAAAAGTTTATGCTTATGCCGCTTCTCCGTCTCCCATGGTTGGTGGCGATCCTGGTGGCGCCCCCAGGACTCCCAGGATGCCCGGAGCGACTGGTGGACGGGGGCGCTCCCGAGCTGGGCCTCCTCCATGCGCGCACGGCTTCTCTGAAGGTGGCCGTCGCTCTCGCTGCGGCGGAGTCCGGAGTCGGCGTCCACCACCTCCAAGAAGCAGTTCTTGACAACCAGCATTGTCCCGTCGGCCTGGCACAGGCCCTGCAGCCCGACGCTGCGGCCACTGCGGATGGGGTCCATGAGACCGCCCGTTCGGGGCAGCCAGAGACACGGGGATGCGCAGAGCGATCTGCCCTGGCCTTCCCCCCCCCGCTCTTTCTCATCATACTGCCCTGTTTTCCCCCTCCGCCAGGTGGGCGCGGTCCTGCACACTTGCGCGCCTGCGCGCTCGTGTGCTCACGTGCTCACACGCTTGCACGTTCGCTTGCTCGCGCCCTGGCGTAATCCCACGCTCGCGAGCCCGCATGGTTCCGAGCTGGTTGCTTGGAGAGCATGTCTATCCCTGGCCACAGCAAGCATCATGGGAGAAAGAGGAAGGGGTCTATATATGATCGCGGGTTCCGGGTCCTCGGGCCCCCCCCCCAGATGGGATGGGTCCCAGGGTCCTCGGGCCCACCCCCCCCCAGATGGGATGGGGGGGAGGAGGAGGAGGAGGAGGACGAGGAGGAGGAGGAGGAGGAGGAGGAGGAGGAGGAGGAGGAGGAGGAGGAGGAGGGAGGGGAGGAGGAGGAGGAGGAGGAGGAGGAGGAGAGGAGGAGGAGAGGAGGAGGGGGAGGGGTCTATATGTGGTCGAGGGTTTGGGCCCCCCCCCCAAATCTAATGCCATCCCCCCCCCCCCCCCCGCGCGATGCCCCCCCCCCCTGTGGGCGTGGGCGTGGCGTGGTGGCTCCCCCCCCCTGTGGATGTGGTGTGGGTGTGGTGTGTTGCTGTGGGTGTGTGCGGGGTGACGCCATGGTCCTCCTCCCCCCCTCCCTCCCCCCCTGTGGGTGCGGTGTGGGTGCGGCGTGTGGCTGGGATTGGCGTCATGTTGACAGCTCCGGTGCTCGACGTCGTCGCCGCCGCCGCTGGTGGTGCCGTCGACGTCGTCGTCGTCGTCGTCGTCGTCGTCGTCGTCGTCGTCGTCGTCGTCGTCGTCGTGTCGTGTCGTCGTCGTCGTCGTCGTCATCGTCCTCGTCGTCGTCATCGCCGTCGTCGTCGTCCTTCTCCTCCTCCTCCTCCTCCTCCTCCTCCTCCTCCCCTCCTCCTCCTCCTCCCCCCCCATCCCATCTGGGGGGGGGGGGGGGCCGAGGACCCTGGGAACCATCCCATCTGGGGGGAGGGGGGGGCCCGTGGGCCCTGAGCCCGCGATCATATATGTAAAGATCCCCGCCCCACCCCAATGCGCCGCTGGAGCCGCAGGAGCGCTCGCGCGCACCTCAATTGTGCAGCGATGCGCGGACGAAGCATCCGTGCGCACCGCGAGGTGCCCGCGAACACCACGCATGGGCGCAACCACGCGATAGGGAGGAGAGGAGACTAGGGGAACAAAAAGTGACATACACATAAAAACTCGGAGGTCCGCGCGGAGTTCTCGGATCGGCGCTGAGGCCCCCTGGCGGCGCCTCCGGCGCCTCCGCTGGCGCGCTCCGCGCGCCAGCGAGGTGGGTCCAGCGCCGATCCGAGAAATCCGCGCGGACCTCCGAGTTTTTATGTTTATGTGACTTCTGTTCCCCTAGAGACAGACCCGGACATATCCACATCAGCCTTGCGAGCCCCAGTGTGCGCAACACGCCCTGCGCTATCACGCGAGCAGAACAACCTGCGAGTGCCTTACTGCCTCAGCCTGCGAATGCAAGAATGGACAACATGCCATGGTAGTACATACTATGCGCAATAATATGATGCACCATTGTGGTGCACACTTGTGAATACCAGAACAACATTCGAGCGCCGCAATATAGCTGTGAACGAGACGACTTGCCCGTGAACTTCGCAATAGTCGCGACGCGCCTATGAGACCCGCCGTGCGTTCGCGACGATCACGTGGCGAGGGAAGCCGAACGATAGCCTTGGAGCGCCACATGTGTGCGGACGAGCATGCTAGACCCTGCAAGTATCACAATAGCCTGCGAAAAAAGGAGGACGAGGGGCAGAAACAGGAAGAGGACGACGATGAGCAGGAGGACGAGAAGAAGACGAGCAGGATAAAAGGAGGACGACGGGCAAGGACAACAGGGATGACGACGAGGACCACGACGGCTACGAGGACGACGGGGACGACGGAGGGGACGAGGAAGATGACGCGGACCACGAGGACGACGACAAGGATGATGAGGACGAGCATGAAAAAAGAGCACAGGACGAGGAGGAGGACGAGCAGGAGGAGCAGGAGGGGGAGGATAGGGGGAAGAGGCTGAGAAACATGTTGACCAGGAGATCAGGGGAAGACGTGGACGACGGAGAGGACGGGGCAATGGACGAGGAGGCGGACGAAAAGTACGACGATGACGATGTCGATGTCGACGGCGGCGCTATCCGTGAAAGTGTAGTATTCCCGATCCCCCCGATCGGGGGGGGGGAGGGCTCGAAGCGCTCCTGGCCATCGCTCGGACGTCCATTCCCAGTGTGTTTTTCGGTTTCGGGCGTGTTTTTTTCGCAAAATTATCAAGGATGCTCCTCGATGGCCCTCGCAGAAGGAAAAGCGCACACGTCCGAGCGATACTAAGGCTCTCGGAGGCCGCTGTTGCAAGAAGAGCTCGTGAGACTGGCCGCAGAGGCAGGGCCTCCCCGATTCCTGGACCCCGGGGGCGCCCCCGCCACAGCCTGCGCCGCCGACGCCCACAAGCACCGCAGCAGTGGCGCGCGCGCGCGCCACAACGTGCCTGTGAGCACCGCGGTGTGCTCACGGACCACCATTCGCAGAAGGCATCCACACACCACCGCCGTGCCAAGGCAGGGCCATCCTGGGCCCCAGGATGGTGTCTACGCCCTCCTGGCGGAGGCAACGCCCTCCTGGCGGAGGCAAAAGAGGGTCTACACACCATCCTGGGGCCCAGGATGGCCCTGGCCTGGCACGGTGGTGGTGTATAGATGCCTTCGTCGGACACCAGGACGGCGAAAGAGACCGGACCCTCCTGCCAGGACCGCACGAAACCGCGAGCGCCACACGGGTGCGCAAGGTCACGCCGCATCCGGGCGGTGCCGCGACAACCCCGCAAGCGCCACAGCCCTGAAAAGAGGCAATCGGCCCGGGAGCATCACGGCAACCTGCGGGCACGATCTGGCGTGCCGTGCGAGCACCGAAGCAGCCCGCGAGCACCACGGTGGCCCTCGAACCCTGCGCCAGCGCCGAGAACGCACGCCGCTACGAAGCTGCGGTGCACGCGCTCGCTGCGACAGCAGTAGGGCGGCGCGCTGCGGGGGGCACCATGCTAGGGGGAGAGAAGAACGAAAGAGAGGGGGTGGGGCGTGCCCAGCGGTCGGCCCGGCTGTCGGAGTGCCAGCGTTAGGTCGGGCATGTCCCCCTCTACAGGCGGATGCTGGACGAAGAATTGGAAATACGCAGACAATACTCAAACATAAAACAAAATCGTCTCCAGACAATTGTTTGACTATGCTTGATCTTTCCTCCTGTAGGGGGCTCCTGTAGGGGGACACGCCCGACTTAATGCCAGCACGACGATGCTTCGCATCCCTGCACATGTGGCTGCCCGGAGCTCACGTTGCTCGCTCGCGCCCCGAGGCGGTGTGCAGTCAGCCTGCTCGGAGCGACCAGCACGTCTGCTGGACAACACGGAGCTCGAGCCAAGATGTTGCGCACGATTGGAGATCGGATCCTGCTATTAAACAGGTCAATAGAGCTCGGCTGGGCGATTCACAAAGGCAGTCCGCCCGCGCGCTGACTCGACGGCCCGAAACGCGAGCTGGCCATCCTCCAGTCGAAACAACAAATGCGACGGTAACTTCTGAGAGCGATTCGGGCCACGGGGCGAGCGAGGAACGACGCCCAGGAGACATAGCTAGACGTCATTCCTTTAAAGTGCGGTCCATGCAGTATCTGAGAGGGTGAAGGCGGCCGATGCCTTGATCCCGTGCTCCAGGTGCAGCGATGCCAAGATGCCTCCTCCTGACTGTGGTCGGGCCGTGGCGCTGACCTGTGCCTACCACCTGCGAGCAACCCACACGATGTTAAGATTAAGTCGGGCCTGTCCTCCTACAGGGGGATCTTGGACGAAAAAATAGAATAGTCTAAACATACACCAACATGTTCAAACAATACTCGAAAAATCGCCCCCAGACTATTTTAACATATTTTTGAATATTCCTCCTGTAGAGGGACAGGCCCTTCTTAATGTTAAGAGTTGACTGCGTGAGTGACCGAGGATAAGAACCTTGACGTTCACGCTGTCAAGAGTTCAAAGATGCTGCCAAGGGGCCCTAAGATGGCCCCCAGGTCGGGAAGGGGTGGGCGGGGCAATGACGGCTCAGGGGCTGCCAGAATCATGTAACAAAAACCCAGAATCTTTCAAATGGGCATTGCCTTGTACACCTGCTCGGCACTATGACCTCAAGTCGGCCCCAGAACGGCCCCGAGAACCTGCAGAAGTCTCCTGAATAGTGTCGAGAGGGCTTCCAAGGGTCCTCCCAATAATTCCAACGGCGCCCCCAAAACGGACACAGGCACCCCCGACTCCCCCAGGCATGCCCCAAAACGCCCTTGGAGGAAAGATGCCCGGACAAATCCGAGATGGCCCAAATGAGCGTCCGAAAATGGCAACCGTCGAACAGCAGTGAGCCGCAAACCATGCAAATCATCACACGCAGGCGACGCAGGGCCGCCGGCGACGCGCGCGCCCCCCGAAGAGACGCCGGGCAGACCTCGGCGCATGGGGGGGCACACGAACAACACTACGGCAAGTTCGTGCCACAACAACCCCAGCAAAGGCAACCATGAACGATCGGCGGCTTTTCGATCGCTGGAGTGTTCATGGTTGCCCATTCTGGGCCACTGGCGGCGTTCAGCCTTGAAGGCCCGCGGCCGGGTCGCCGCCGCGTGGGCATGACAAAAACCCACAGAACTTGTCCCACGATTCGTGCCG